ATTTTCCGTCATAAAAAAACGGCCGCCATTTTGAATTTTCCAAAAAAACCTACTTTTGCGAACTCGTCCTAGACGGTTTGTCCGATTTTCACCAAAATCGCACCGGATCATCTCCAGGCAGTGCTGACAAAAAGTTATGGAATTCAAGATGATTCGAATAACCGTTTTCGATAAACGCGTAAACAAAATTTACGTAGCGCTTGCAAAAACAGACGTGAGGTTGTATCTCCACAACGCTTACTCGTTTTCACACCAAACTTGGTACGTGTCATCACAAGCATGACCTGAGGCTACGTGCTGCGTTTCGGCGCAGCGCCACCTAGTGGTCCGGAGATATGAAAAATGGCTATTTTTGCTCGTAACTTCTGAACGGTTTGTCCAAAAATCATAAAATTTGGTCTCGTTAGATTCAGGGCGTCATGCCGAGTCCACCGATATCCAATTTTCCCAGATCGGCCATTTTGGCTGTCGGCCATTTTGAATTATGTGCTAAAATGCTGTATTTTTTGAACGCATGAACGAATTGTTACGAAACTCGGTATGGGTCATCAGTACGATGCCCTGAAGGAGCCTGAGAAGTTTCGAAACAGCGCCACCTAGTGGTGAATTTTTTTTTTCAAACGCTTATAACTTTGGGTGTGGTACACTTATTTTCACAGGAGTCATTTTTTGAGATCCTGAATCGTTGCCGAGTCCAACGATACTAAACATGCTGGGTTTCGTCTTACGGTTGGTGTAGCGTAGCGATTTAGCGCGAAAAAAACACTTGGCGATATCTTCAAAACCGCTGTTCCGATCGAGACGAAACCACCGCCAGAAACACGGAATCATAGCTTGTTAACTATACGCTAATGCCCAAATGCGAAAATATTGATAGTAAGGGGTAGTAAAATTCAAACAAAGTCATGTGTCAGTCATTTTTTACGTGTTTTTTCATATAAATGTTTATAACTCGGAAGTAAATTGAGATATTTGCACCAAAATTGACACACATATGTATGGGGTCACTCTGAGGACACATAAAAAAAATTGTGGGACTGAGCCTCTTGGTGGCGCTATAATAGAACAAAACGTGAAATTCCCATTGACTTCAATACAGTTTTTGTGAAATACAATGCTATACTAAACAAATGCTTTGGTCTAACATTACAAAACTCAGTGTGTGCCAAGCAGCATGCCCTGAAGGTACTCAAAAGATTTTGAGACAGCGCCACCTGTTGGTCAAAAGTTATAATTAATTTCTGAGAACGCTAATAACTTTTGAATAAATTTGCCTATTGCAATGAAACTGATCTTAATAGATTCCTTGGGTTATGCCGAAAACATAGATATCAGGTTTTGCATAATCAGCCAAACTTCCTGTCCGCCATCTTTATTTTTTTAAAAACCTTCTTTTTCGAACTCCTCCTAGACCGTTTGTCCGATTTTCACGAAAATTGAATCGTATCATCTCCAGACCGTGCCGACTAAAAGTTATGGATTGCGTGACGATAGACAAAACCGTTTTCGTATACCACAGCATCAAATTTAGGCATGCTGCCAAAATGACTATTTAGGCTTTATCTCTGCAATGCCTTCACATTTTGACACCAAACTTTGCATGTGTCATTGTCACCTCACTCTGACCACACATCTATTTCGTAACTGCGCCACCTATTGTTCGAAAGTGATAACCCATTAAATCATCTTATAAGTTAATGTTTATGTGATTTTTTTTAGCCATTTGCCCAAAGTTCTCTCAAAATGCCCTTAATTGCTCCTTGCTGCAGTTGGTCTGCCACTCCTTAGCCATTTTGGCATATGTTGCCGCTTCTTGCGCTTGGCCCCGGTAATGGCTGCTTGCAGCTATATTTATTATTATTATTCTTCTTCCGACTGGGCGTCTATGGCAGCCCATAGACCGGTTTGCGGGAAAGTTGTTTTGGTTTGACATTCTGATAGAGGACAGTCCCAACTTTAAATACACCAATTTTGGTGTCTCTAACTCATTCCCTCTAGCGCCACCAACTGTCCAAAGTTTCACTTTTATTATGCTAATAACTTTTGAACCGTAAGGCCTATCAACAAAATTCTTTTTTCCTCTTGTTCCTGAGCTCATGCCGATTCGATCGCACCCTATGACGTCATTTTCCGTCATAAAAAAACGGCCGCCATTTTGAATTTTCCAAAAAAACTACTTTTGCGAACTCGTCCTAGACGGTTTGTCCGATTTTCACCAAAATCGCACCGGATCATCTCCAGGCAGTGCTGACAAAAAGTTATGGAATTCAAGATGATTCGAATAACCGTTTTCGATAAACGCGTAAACAAAATTTACGTAGCGCTTGCGAAAACAGACGTGAGGTTGTATCTCCGCAACGCTTACTCGTTTTCACACCAAACTTGGTACGTGTTATCACAAGCATGACCTGAGGCTACGTGCTGCGTTTCGGCGCAGCGCCACCTAGTGGTCCGGAGATATGAAAAATGGCTATTTTTGCTCGTAACTTCTGAACGGTTTCTCCAAAAATCAAAAACTTGGTCTCGTTAGATTCAGGGCGTCATGCCGAGTCGACCGATATCCAATTTTCCCAGATCGGCCATTTTGGCTGTCGGCCATTTTGAATTATGTGCTAAAATGCTGTATTTTTTGAACGCATGAACGAATTGTTACGAAACTCGTTATGGGTCATCAGTACGATGCCCTGAAGGAGCCTGAGAAGTTTCGAAACAGCGCCACCTAGTGGTGAATTGTTTTATTCAAACGCTTATAACTTTGGGTGTGGTACACTTATTTTCACGGGAGTCATATTTTTGAGGTCCTGAATCGTTGCCAAGTCCAACGATACCAAATATGTCGGGTTTCGTCTCACGGATGGCGTAGTGTAGCGATTTAGCGCGAAAAAAACACTTGGCGATATCTTCAAAACCGCTGTTCCGATCGAGACGAAACCACCGCCAGAAACACGGAATCATAGCTTGTTAACTATACGCTAATGCCCAAATGCGTAAATATTGATAGTAAGGGGTAGTAAAATTCAAACAAAGTCATGTGTCAGTCATTTTTTACGTGTTTTTTCATATAAATGTTTATAACTCGGAAGTAAATTGAGATATTTGCACCAAAATTGACACACATATGTATGGGGTCACTCTGAGGACACATAAAAAAAATTGTGGGACTGAGCCTCTTGGTGGCGCTATAATAGAACAAAACATGAAATTCCCATTGACTTCAATACAGTTTTGTGAAATACAATGCTATACTAAACAAATGCTTTGGTCTAACATTACGAAACTCAGTGTGTGCCATAAGCAGCATGCCCTGAAGGTACTCAAAAGATTTTGAGACAGCGCCACCTGTTGGTCAAAAGTTATAATTAATTTCTGAGAACGCTAATAACTTTTGAATAAATTTGCCTATTGCAATGAAACTGATCTTAATAGATTCCTTGGGTTATGCCGAAAACATAGATATCAGGTTTTGCATAATCAGCCAAACTTCCTGTCCGCCATCTTTATTTCTTTGAAAAGCCTTCTTTTTCGAACTCCTCCTAGACCGTTTGTCCGATTTTCACGAAAATTAAATCGCATCATCTCCAGACCGTGCCGACTAAAAGTTATGAATTGCACGATGATAGACAAAACCGTTTTCGTATACCACAGCATCAAAGTTTAGGCATGCTGCCAAAATTACTATTTAGGCTTTATCTCTGCAATGCCTTCACATTTTGACACCAAACTTTGCATGTGTCATTGTCACCTCCCTCTGACCACATCACATCTATTTCGTAACTGCGCCACCTATTGTTCGAAAGTGATAACCCATTAAATCATCTTATAAGTTAATGTTTATGTGATTTTTTTAGCCATTTGTCCAAAGTTCTTTTAAAAATGCCCTTAATTGCTCCTTGCTGCAGTTGGTCTGCCACTCCTTGCCATTTTGGCATATGTTGCCGCTTCTTGCGCTTGGCCCCGGTAATGGCTGCTTGCAGCTATATTATGTAATTAGGATTACGTAATCAGATAAAAATAAATACTTTCAATTATATTAAATTACATTTTAAAATACTCAAAATCAGACAACAGTTACATTTTTATTGATTCATATTCACAAAATTATTCTTAAGTTCACTGATTCTCTCTAATTTTTTTTTTTTTGTTGTATCCTTTAAATGTTCCTGTCTAAAACTAAAATGTCCTATTGCTTATGTACACTCTAAAAAAAATCCTGGGTTGTTTTAACCCAATTTTGGGTCAAATATGGACAAACCCAACTGTTGGGCAATTTATTAACTGTATTTTTTAATCCAACATTTGGGATTGTCCATATTTGACCCAAAAATGGGTTAAAATAACCCAGTATTTTTTAGATAGTATAAAAAAATACTATACCTAATAGTATAATTACAATTAATTTATAATATTTTTTTATTATAATTTATTATAATTAAAAATACTATACCTAAATAGTATAATTACATGGAAAAGTGAGAGGCCACAAAACATTAACAAATGAAATATTTAATCATACATTTAATAAATTAAAGTTTTATTTTCTTATAAAATAAATAAAACAAATAAAAATAAACCTTTTTTTAATAAACAAACACAAAACTATTTATTACAGTTCCTTCACCAAAACCCTGACGTTATGTAATATGTAATGCACTTCATATTGTTGACATCATTTTGTCAACATTTTTCTTTTTCTTTGTAGTTTCATACCAACATGGTGCAGGATTAACTAATTCAAATACATTTATTCTGGTCCCATAAAGCACAATAATAGTAGATGGAGACATTTCCTATTGCATTACCCAAGAAGAGTGTGTCCGTGGGGTTTTCAGTCAGCGCTAAAAGTTGGGAGTCAAAGTAATTTATTGGGGCCACGGTGGGTGACAGCATAGACTCTGGTTCCTGCACAGTCTCACCTCACGCTGGATCATCTTTGTGTGAGGATTTTACATAAACACACACAAGCCTTGTCCTGTAAGAGGTAGAGGAATGTAAACACTGACCCAGCTACATTCTCCTGTCTGTTGTGTGGCGTGGGCTCTTCACAAGCTGACGGTTCCGGCAAGGAGCTCTTGGTACAGAGTAAAGCAGGACTCTTCAGGCTTATCGCGCCCACAGATGGAAGACCTATAATGTTAAGTAGACAAAAAGATGTCTCAAATACCTCAATTACTCCTGTTGCACTTATTTTTCCTAGAGATCAATCAAATTGAATTGAGAGTCTTATAATCTTCTCTACATTGAAGAAGTTCTATGTTGCCTCTAGAATTTACAAGAAATATCCTCTATGTCTCAAACTGTGGAAAAAAATGCAAAGACACCAAAGTCAGAGATTTCAATATGAACTCAAACATCAGATTCTTCCAGACCAAACAGCTCTCTACTCTTACTGTATGCCAATAGTCAAGTTTATTTAGGGTGACCACCATCAAACAAACCAAATGTGAGACGACTACTACGTTTGTGTGGGACATGTTACCAACATAACTTAAAAATGTTATATAATGTCTATCTAACTTAAAGGAGTAGTTCACGTTGAAGAAAAACTTTGCTGATCATTTACTCACCCCCATGTCATCCAAGATGTCCATGTTATTCTTTTACTTTAGTCGAAAATAAATGAAGGTTTTTGATGAAAACAGTCCAGGATTTTCTCCATATATCAGACTTCAATGGGAACCAAACGGTATAAGGTCCAAATGAGAGTTTCAGTGCAGCTTCAAAGGGCTTTAAACAACACCAGACGATGAATAAGGGTCTTATCAAGTGAAACGATCGGTCATTTTAAAAAAAAAAGTTTAAGTTTTATAAGCTCAAATGCTCGTCTTGCTCTGTTCTGTGATGAGCGTTCGTGACTCTCCTGCTCGAACTCGTTCATCAAAATGAAAAAATCTTTTTCGAGTCATTTGGTTAATTCAACGAACAAAATGAACGAATTGACTCGGAAAAAGCTCGAACGGGAGAGTCACAAAGCGTGCATCACAGAAAAGCGAGCATTTGTGCTTATAAAACTTATTTATTTTATTTTTTTTTAAATGACTGATCGTTTCGCTTGATAAAACCCTTATTCATCGTCTGGTGTCGTTTAAAGCCCTTTGAAGCTGCACTGAAACTCTCATTTGGACCTCAAACCGTTTGGTTCCCAATGAAGTCCATTATATGGAGAAAATCCTGGACTGTTTTCATCAAAAACCTTAATTTATTTTCGACTGAAGAAAGAAAAACATGGACATCTTGGATGACATGGGGGTGAGTAAATTATCATTAGCTTTTTTTAAAAGTGAACTACTCCTTTAATAAAAACATTTGTATGCTGCATTTCAGCTGATAAAAATACTTTGTTTTTTAGTATCTTCCAGAAAACACCATGATGTATCACAATGTAACATAACATGTCTTTATTTAACATGTCATTTAAATTCAACATCCCTATATAAGCACAAAGGTAGCAGGCATCATGCAGATAACTATTTTTGAAACAGTTCTGACCAAGTCCAACTAAAATGTGAACAAATAAAATATAAAACAAAATGAAATTAGTTAATTGACAGGCTTGTATATTAAGAATATATTAAACCAAAAACTGTCATATTCTTAGAAGAGATAGATAAAGGGAAAACATGGAACGAATCACCGCTCCAAATTTTGATTGACAGCCGTCACAACCTACCAGTGACCGTGTGGATTTAAAAAAAATGGCGGGCCGAAGGCGATATTTTTTTTCACAGGATGGTAGGGGAAGACTCATCAATATTCATTAGGTAACTCATCCCTGATTGGTCTTAACCCCAGTGACGGGTAGGTTTAGGGGCGGGGTTAGAGGTAGGTCATCAGACCAATCAGGGATGAGTTCCCTAATGAATATTGATGAGTCTTCCCCTACCATCCTGTGAAAAAAAATATCGCGGGCCACGGTTGTATTTGTACGGAAGCGTATTGCATTCGCTTGAAGAAAAAAAATCTACTGTTTTTCTGAATTAACAAATTAATTATCTCAGAATTCCGAGAAAATTTTCATGAGATTTTTTTTTTTTGGCTCTGTTTTTCTGAATTAACGAGTTAATTTTTCATGAGAAAAAAAGTTTAGTTTTTGTTCTGTTTTTCTGAATTAATGAGTTAATTTTTTCATGAGAAAAAAAGTTTTTGCTCTGTTTTTCTGAATTAACTCATTAATTCAGAAAAACAGAAAAATTAACTCATTAATTCAGAAAAACAGAGCAAAAAAAAATGTTCTCATGAAAAATTAACTTGTTAATTCAGAAAAAACAGAACAAAAAAAAAATTCCACGAAAAATTAACTTGTTAATTCAGAAAAAAAGAGCAAAAACTTTTTTTTCTCATGAAAAATTAACTCGTTAATTCAGAAAAACAGAGCAAAAAAAAAATTCCATGAAAAATTAACTCGTTAATTCAGAAAAACAGAGCAAAAACTTTTTTTCCACATGAAAAAATTAACTCATTAATTCAGAAAAACAGAGCAATTTTTTTTCTCATGAAAAATTAACTCGTTAATTCAGAAAAACAGAGTAGATTTTTTTTCTTCAAGTGAATGCAATACGCTTCCGTATATTTGCACTTCTGACGCGCTGTTAAATATAGGTGAAAAACGCCGCCGCAAAAAGAAAGCATAATGCTTTCTTAAAAAGGCAAAATAACGCATGGACGTTTTCTTATTATGATAATTAAAAACCAATAGACAAAAATGCGGGACATTTACTCAATATGCGACGTGCGGGACAAGGGGTAAAAATGCTGTGTGGTACAAGTACAACGCAAGCGGGTCAACGCGCATCTGAGGCGAAGTTACTTTGAATCATAACTGAGAACACCTGAGCTGTGAAATAGCAACACAGCCAAACACAGTTAGGACAGAACATTGCAAAAGCTTTCCGATATTAACGTTACCTGTAGACACGGGCTCAGAACAAACACTGACAGTGCGTTTCAGCCAAAGCTCAGGGTCTTAAACTAGGAGGCTTGCAGTTCTGTTTTGGCTGACCTTAACGGATATACGGAACACAATATACACAATTCAATGAAGTTCAAGAATCTTTCCTCTGTTCTGTTGTACTCTGCGTTTTGTTATCTTATCAGAAAAGGCCATTCAAAATATCACTGACATTTAAAAGTGATGAAATCAAAAAGGATTTAACACTTTTACTAAAATAAGAGAATGTTCCTTCTGAGAGGAAGAGATAGCGGTTTTAAATGCACAATATAAAAACAATCTTTTCCACAATCTACACAGGACTGATGATTTATATTGGCTTGATGGGAATGGGAATGTATGAATCATGTTTTGCGATGAAACATACTTGACAAGCGCGTTTCACAGTTTCAAAAGCACACAGTCATCTTTTCCTATTCATAGACAAATCCCAAATGAGGTCTCAAATGTTTCTTTAAAGATAGCAATGAGATTGAATGGAGTCTTTTTCTTAAATTCCTGCACTTGAGGTTTTTTTTTTTCTCCTGAAAAAAGATCCCAGTAATCTTACATGTGTCTCTTGTAGCGTTTCAGCAAAGATCTCAATAATGCTTCAAACGTGCTGCAACAAAAACTGATTCATTCAGTTTTTGATTCATTTGATTCAAACTGATTCATTCAAACTGATTTGTGCTGCAACAAAAACTGAATCATTTAAAATGATTTAAATGTAAACTGAAACATTTCCAATCAATTCTTGTGCCATTCACAATCATTTTATAGCTATATAACCTTACTGCAAAAAATTACAAATCAGCCACCCTAACTGCTAACATATAAGAAAATAAAAAAGCAACATTATGTCTCCTTCTATGAAACAGCAAACTCTGAGCAATAAAATCAGCCCCAGAAAGCAACATAGTGTCGGCCCAGATGGAATCCACGTGTACCAGGTGTGAGCCGGATTTGGGCCGACACTATGTTGCTGTCTGAGGCATCTTGCACATCATGCTCCAAACATGTTGAGCTCTGGTGGTCTCATCCCAAGGCATCATATAGGTGACGCTTTTGAAATTGCGTCTACATCCGACACACATTGCACCCTTTAGCGTCAATATGAAACATAGATATATATGGGCCAGAAGGCGCATCCTAGTGGTCTAACCCTAACACTACTACAGACCTAAACCTACCCATAACCGAAGCGTATTATATTGACGCTAAAGGGTGTCATGTGCATTTTTGACACCCTGGGATGAGAATGCGTCAAGTGGATTATGCAGGTTCAAGTCCAGCCTGCAACGTCTGTAACTACTTTCCACTCTCCACTATGACCAATTCTATTTTTCAACCATTCAAAAGTTTGGAGTCAGTATGAAAGAAATTAAAGGAGTAGTTCACTTTTGAAAAAAACCCCATGTCATCCAAGATGTCCATGTCTTTTTTTCTTCAGTCAAAAAGTAAATAAGGTGTTTGATGAAATCATTCCAGCATTTTACTCCATATAATGGACTTCAGTGGGAACCAAACGGTTCAAGGTCCAAAAGACAGTTTCAGTGCAAACTGCAAACTGTTCAAAAGGCTTTAAACGATTCCAGATGATGAATAAGGGTCTTATCAAGCGAAACGATCGGGCATTCAACAAAGTTGAAAACGAATGAATGAATCAAAATGAACAAATCTTTTTCCAAGTCATTTGAATCATTCAATGTACAAAACGAATTGACTTGGAAAAAGATTTGTTCATTTTGATGAATGAGTCACGAATGTGCAACACAGAACAGAGCAAGGCGAGCATTTGACCTTATAAAACTTAAACTTTGTTAGCTAAATATTATCATTTCGCTTGATAAGACCCTTATTCATCGTCTGGAATCGTTTAAAGCCCTTTGAACAGTTTGCAGTTTGAACTGAAAGTGTCTTTTGGACCTTGAACCGTTTGGTTCCCATTGAAGTCCATTATATGGAGAAAAATTCTGGAATGTTTTCATCAAAAACCTTAATTTCTTTTCGACTGAAGAAAGAAAGACATGGACATCTTGGATGACATGGGGGTGAGTAAATTATCAGCAAAGGTTTTTTTGAAAAGTGAACTACTCCTTTAAAACTTTCATTCAAAGATGCATTACACTGATCAAATGTTACAGCAAAGACATGAATTGTTCCAAAAATAAATAAATAAATACAGCTCCTCTTAACT